TTTTTTTTTTTTTTTTTTTTTTTTTTTTTTTCCCTCCTCATTGGGGAACAGCTGTAGTAGAAGGCGTCTAACGTGAGTATGCTTTTTTTGTGTGTGAGTATGCTTTTGTTTTTCCGTTTTATAAGAGTAGAGACTCTTTCTGACAGCACGCCTCCTTGCCGTGAGAGGCGGGGCTGACGTGAGTAATACTGAGTATGCCATTTTCTTTTGTTTTTATTTTTTTGTGAGTATGCTTTTGTTTTTCCTTTTTTATAAGAGTGCTCTTTCTGACAGCCTGCCTCCTTGCTGTGAGAGGCGGGGAGGAATCCATTCTGTCCTCAGGCATGCAATTCGTGAATGTATCTGACTGCAATTACGGCAACGCGGGGGGGTGCTGTAGAGTGAAAACGAGAAATAGACGGGTTCCTCTTTGTTCCGTCTGCTGATAGTATGTCCAGCACAGAGGGCGGTACTGGTACCCACCCTGAATTTTCCCAGTGGCGGTATCTGTCACTTGCAGACTCGGCAAAATTCAAATTTAGGCTCGTACGTTTAGCCCCGGGTGTACTGGTGGTTTAATGATTGTTTTTAAATTTTCTGATATTTTTCCTGGAAAGACCACGACCATCAGAGCGCAAAAAATTGCCCAAATTGCCTCTTGCGAATTGCGGGACTGGACCTGTCGGTACCCTATTGTGTAGGGGCCTACCAACAACTGTTAGGGTGGCTTTTTCAGAGGACTGCAGCCAAGTACGGGTCCTCCGAATTCGCGACTGCGCCGATCTTAGAAGAGCTAGCTGTAGACCCTCCGCAAAATCGCGAAGGACCAGTCCCACGACAATTCTTACCCCAAAAGAACCCACTTGTTCACAGTTGCCCGGCTGCTGAAAATGGGACACCTCGCCAAAAATCTGACACCTTGACACTGATGCGGAAGCCTACTATACTGCAGCCTTAGGGCTGCGAACAGACCAAACAGTGTCATTGAAGACGGAGAGCCCAGAGCTGAGGTCCCTGTTCCTTGGCATCATTCAAATGGAACTTGATGTGGTGTTGATTGACAACTTGTTAGCAGTCAGGACGTCCTGAATGTACACACAGGAATCCAAGTGGAAATTTCACTCTTCTAATTGGAGGGGAGAGAGAGAGAGAGAGAGAGAGGAAGAATATGATATCAGGGAAGCTCTGGAGGAATGCTGGGTAGATACACGATCGACTTTAAACCGGTTTGTGCGTCTTCGACGGTTTCCTTCAGGCCCTGACTGTGTGTATGGTTTCACGCTTGCTGACTTTTGACGTGTATTTGTAGTATTGTCACGCTCCATGCCGTGCGGTTGTGATTCTATGCCCCTCCAGGTTGGGCCATGATGCAGGTGGAAGTCGGGTGGAGGTGCAGGTGGAGGGGAGGACGGAGGGACGCAGGGCAGGGAGAAATGCATGGGCTTGGTCGGTGTGAACGACCTTTTTTGTTGTTGGTGTGTGTGTGTGTGTGTGTGTGTGTGTGTGTGTGTG